GAACTCGTCCGTTGAGGTGTCGTCTTGTAGCCACGGGGCATTGGAGATGTCATACGAGTAGTAGTAGTTGATGCTGGGATAGCCATTCCAAGCCCAGATAGGTGACCAAGTGGCTCCTGAATCTGTACTACGCCAGATCAACTCATCGGGCCACCAGCAGTTGAGAGCTGCTACCATGACGGTGCCAGGGACCTGGAGGTCGACTGCTAGTCCACCATAGCCATAGTAGGTGTCCGCCATAGAGGTAGGGCTGATGTCGGTCCAGGTGCCGCTGGTGATGTTGTATTTGTGGACAGTGCCATTGGTGCCGTCATACGGGCCGGCACCGTTAGAGTAGGAGATATAGAGAGTGTGCTCGGATGGTGACAGAACACCTTTGTGAGGGAGGAAGCCATACGATGGCTCTCCTGATACCCAAGCCCCTGTGTTTGTTAGATGATGTTTGTGGGAAATGATTAGAGGTGCTTACAAGTTTCACCAGCATCTTCAGAAACAAAGACTGATTCTCCAGTGTCCACCACGCCTATTATTGTCAATGAACTATCCTGAAGGTTCTGAAGTCCCTAACATACCGACAAAGATGCGCGGAGTCGGAGAGCCACTGGACCCTGAGGTCGAGTCGAACGTGACCCAGGCGATTCCCACCGGATCAGAAGTGTAGGTTGAGCTGGAGTCTTGGAAATAAGTGCCAGTCCACTTAAAGGCAGTCACGTTCGACCACGTCGCGCCATAGTCCGTGCTCTTCCACAAGCCATTGCCACTGCGGGCTCCAAAGTACAAGATGCTGTTGTCATTCGGGTCCACGGCCAGTCGCTGCAGTGGTCAGTGTATGCTTGCAAGAAACAGAACACATGGGCCATACTTCGCCAACGCCCCGACCGGGCATATTCCCTCCAACTTTGAAGGGAAGCTTTGTCTCCGCCCAGGTATCGCCCTGGTCGGTTGACCGTAGGATTGAGCCGTCATTGGGATCCCAGTCGTTAGTGTACATGCCTACTGCAACATACACTCGGTCGGTATCAACGGGATCGGTCGCGATCGCATCAATGCCCCAGTCGTGCCTGAACAGTGAGCACGAGCATACCGTAGGAGGGGCTTACGTACCAATTGGAGTTGTTGGCCCAGTCCATCAAGGGAGTCCATGTATCATCTGAGTTCAAGCGGTATGCGCCGCCGATGTCGGTGCGAGCATACGCGACACCTTTGGCTGAAGGGTTGAACACGATGCCCGGCGTGAAGCCTCCGCCACCTGAGAACATTAGCTTGTTCATTCCATATGGCGAAAAATAAACCATACCTCCTGTGACTACATTCTTCCAGGTATATTCCTGAGAAGCGGCTGCCTGGACCGAGTCAATCAAGTAGCCTGCTGCCAGGGCTGTGATTGTACGCCACATTGTGACTGGAAATAGTCTTGGTGCTACTGATAAACTGTCGATTCATGTGGGAGAGCATGGAGCTTATATATTCAGCAGGTTCAAGCATCGGAGCTGCTCTTCAGGCACAATTGTAAGGTAATGATGTTCGCACATGCGTGACATGCAGTTGGCCCTGCGTTAGTGACTCGAACGAGCATGCTATACCTGACCTGGAACGGACCAAGGCATTGTGTGGTCAGACAGACGAATCTTAACCTGCTCCGTATGGATGATCTGATTGTGCAGATGCAGGGACGAAAACATATATCCGGAGAAAGGACCGAATAGCCGAATAGATTAATTATGAGGAGATTGGGGCAGATGTTGCTGCGTGACTGATTCATCACGGAGCAGCCTCCGACATAACAGCCATCAACGTATTGACAGAGGACCTTAGACTTGGCTAATATCCGCGTGTTTCGGACAGTACTCATAGGATCATAATGCAATACTCTTCATAGAAGCTGTGATCTGTTTGACATTCATAGGGCATTGCCGGAGACAGAATGAGCTCTGATTGGCGGAACAACGAGCTGCAGATGGGGATGAATGCATGCCATTCTGATGGCACGCAGTGCCGGACAGGCACGGTCGGGTATTTCTCCTGACGCCTGCAGGGCTAGCGCAGCCATGTTAGCTTTTAGACCCGAACGACCTTTTTTTCAGTTGAAATTCACACAAAATGTGCAGTTGGATTTCGTCTTGCCCAAAGGAGTACTAGGCAAAGCATGTCTCAGTGAAAGAGGGCTTGGCAGCTATGACTCGCCTGGTACCTGACCTACCAACTTGTCATAGCCGGAGCAATAACTGCAAGGCCTGCCATAACATGCCGAAAGGCTCCACACTTCCAGTCAGAAATTTGACTTGACGCTTTTGCCGCCCGGTCGGAGTGGACTCGATCCAGGCTACTGTTCAGAGGGTGACCTTGTGGCACTCCGACCGAGGGAAGTGGTGGGGAGCCAACATAAGTCCGCTCAAAATTACGAACCGTCTTCCCATCGATGAGTTAGACCGTATCATAGCCAATTAACAAGGTAAACTCGTTAAGTGCCATTCAAGTATTAGACTGAGATCAAGCTACCAGGGGCCTAGCCGTCCTTTCGGCCGAAACTAAAGTGCGATCCAAGCTCCAAGCAGGGCCGGTAAAGCCATTAAAGTTACTGTGGACATCGGGATTTGATCAACGTCCTGGAACCATATCTGGCGAATAATATCAACGGACGAGTCACCATAAGGAGCAAGATGAAGAGTGAATCCCGAAGGTGCCTGTTGATCCATCAACGTCAGAATCGGCCCGTGCAATCAATCCGGGACTGGAGACCACAAGCCGGGATGAAATATTGATACGTCCACTGCCCTCACGCCACTGTGACACCCACCTGCAGGCTAATCCAGTTGACAGGTGCCAGGACCACCCGCTCTTCTTTGTGTGGGCGTTTCATGGTGAAACGCCCCAGATCGACGGCCAATTTAGGGTTGCCGCCCCACAACGGGCTGTCCCATTTTTGAGCTTCGGGGCCTTATTGGCTCCATCTAGTCATTGGTGTCATGGTTATATTGATTCGGAGAATTTGTTCGTGTCATTTCCTGCTTGTATCCATTACAGGGAGCCCTGCTTTGTGGATCTCATCTTTCTGCGCGTTGAGCTAAATTTACAGACACTGGAGCTCAGATTATGTTTGCTGTGGCAGGTATGTAAAGGATGCGGTTCCTGGTTTGCTGCACGTAGAGTTTGACTGCAGGTCATCATCCTGTCAGCTCTATTCATTCCTTCACCATGCCAGGGGGCCTGCATCCACCGCTTTCGGTCATGGAATCATGGCCTGCGCGCAACACCATCAACCCGGAAACCCATGGGGCAGCGTCCATTGTGCTCCCAGTCATCTTCGGATCCATCGCAGTCACAGCAGTCATACTTCGACTATGGGCTCGCTGCGTAATTCAGCGACAGGGTAAACTAGACGACATATTCATCGCACTTGCACTAGTAAGACAGACCCCTTCCTATCACAACACAATACCTTCTAACAATTCCTAGATCCCAGCCATAGGCCTCAACATCAGCTTCCCCCTCGGTACTACCAACACCAACTCTCCCACAAACTCACCCTACTAACCAACCGCCCAGGAGCTTACATCTACGGCGAAAACCACCACGTATGGGACAACACACTCCCCCAACTCCTCCAATCGCGCAAACTCGCCATCGCACAAGAACTCTTCTACATCCTCTCCTCGTGCTTTACCAAGATCTCGGTCCTTCTCTTCTACCGCCGCATGGGCCACCGCACAACCATCTCCCCTCGTTTCCTCAACATCATCTACATCAGCATTGCCAGCGTAGCAGCCTACACGCTCGCCTTCTTCATCGTAATCTGGGTCGCCTGTCGTCCCTTCTCAGCATACTGGATGGAAGTCGATCCCGAGTATACCGCCACGCACAAATATACGTGCTACAATGAACCTGCTCATCTCATCGCCGCGACGTTTATAAGCCTCTTGCAGGATATCGTGGCCACGACGCTACCCGCTGTGCTTTGCTGGGGCTTGCAGATGAGGTTGAGGCAGAAGGTGTTGCTCAATGGGGTGGTGTTTGGGTTGGGGTATTTGGCTGCTGTTGTGGCTGGGGTGAGGGTGTGGTTCCTTTATAGGATGTTTTATGTCAGTTATGATGCTAGTTGGGATGTTTGGTACTGTTGGGTGTTGGCGATGTTGGAGGTGGATGTTGCCGTGGGGTGTTCGTGTTTGCCTGGGGTTAATGTTTTTGTGAGGAGTGTGGGGTGTGGTGGGGGGAGGAAGGGGGGAAGTGGGAGTGGGAGTGGGAGTGGGGTGGGGTCGTGGAGTTGGAGTGTTGGGAGGAGTCGGAGTTGGAGTTGGAAGTGGGTTAAGGAGGGGGGTGTGGGGGTTCATGTTAGTACTAGGATGAGAGCCAATACTGTTGATGGGGAAGCAAGGGCGGTAAAGAATGAAGGGGGAGAGAGGGGGTCGAATGATACGGAGAGGGATCTTTTGGATAGGCAGGCTGGTAGTGTGGTTGAGCTGAAGGTGTATAGAGAGGTGTCGGAGGGTGAGGTGTAACTTTTGTACTATAGTGCTGGCAATGAATAGAATTACTTGTTTCTACGGATATGCCCATTGTTGCTGGGGATCATTATATCGTTAATTACATGGAGGTCTTACAATATAGAAGTTATGGTTATCTTTGGGTTAAGATGAGTGCATGCTGGCTACGCAGTCTGCTCGGAAAATATAGATTCATTCGTATTTAATTGATGAGAGTGTAAACGAAGTTGTGTCTTCAATCTTCATCATATATTTCCTCCTTACCAGCAAGAGACAAGAGCGTCTTTGGTGGAAAACACTTGCAGATGATGTACAACAACAGCATCCTCATGGTACCCCTCGAGCGTGAATACTTCAGAAACCATATGCAAATACCGCGCATAGCAGAAAGATTGCCCAGTAATAGATAGCTTGCCGAAATAACAGCTGCGAAACTTGAATTTATAAGATATGACTGTTTGACGCATCTTTCGAAAGACAGCTGCTAGACAATCTTGATAGCTAGTAGCCATCAGACATTTATAGGAAATGACGTGTGATACTATAGGCATGATTAGTGAAACACACAATTTAGCTAAGTGGTCAATGGGAAAGGTGAGGAACAGGGGTGAAAGTGCAAGCAGTCGAAGAAAGTGAATGCCTCTGTCACACAAGTAATCAAGCCAATTCTGATAAACGCTCTCCACGAGTGAGTCATGTTTGAACCCCTGGCGCAGCAGACTCATCCAGTATCTTGAATTATGTACTTCTAGATCAGGCTGTTTCCTGTCAAGGGACCTGGGTATAATATCAATCATGTGAATTCTGCTTTGAGACAAAGTTTGTGTCGTTGTTTCGACGGAATATGGGATCGAGGGATTAGTTGATAATTGCTCCTGTCGCACTGATTTCTTTAAGTCCTCGAACGTTGGTGTGTCATTATCTGGAGGAAGGAACAAATAAGGTGTGAGGATAGTCTCCCAAATGGAACCGTATCTCCAGCGGGGCTTTTCCATTCTAACATCCAATATGAATGAGAGACGGTTGTCATCCATGTCCTGAAGCCAAACAAAAACGTCTTCGGTATCGGGATTAAAATCTCGAGTGGTTTTTGTGGAGAGGACCCTTGAATCAGACCGCCGGCCGGGATCAGATGGGAGTACGTCCACTATCCCAAGATTCGGCGGAAGACCTCTTATGATGACAGAATACCATGGGTTATACATGATCCCTGCATGGGTCGCCTTGATATCGGGGGAAAAATAAAGCTGTTTGCGGGGCCATCTAAACCAGGCTGCATGATCGGCCACGTAGTTCCCTCGTTTGGATCGGCAGTAGGTATCGCCTATCTTCCGTAATGGCACGGCTATTAGCCTAGTAGGGTCTCTCTTCGTTTGACACTGAAGGAGAATGAACCAGCCGTCTGAGAGCTCAAGAAGTGGCAGTTCTATACTTAGGCCCTTATTGGTCATCGAGAAAGGAGGGGTCGGCCTTTTGACGTCGCATGGAACTATGTCGCCACAACCTTGGAATGCCGCTGGAGACTCAGCAAGGATCCCCGAGAAGTCTGAGGCGTCTATTTGCATTGCTCCAGAACATTCTGGAGGGGTTTCATAGTCTTTGAAGATAAAAACTAATTCCTCGAGCAACGACTGAGATATCGACCATGGTCGTTTATGACTCAAATCATGTTCTGGTTCTCTAAAACTCCACGCAAACAATGACTGATCATCGGAATGTTTAATGATTTCTTCTTGTAGTCTTCGAAAGGCAGCAGATCCCTCTCCATACAGGAGCGGCATGTTGACTTGAAGTACACCCAACAGCGAATATGCCATGTCTTCAATTCGAGTGGTTTCACGGTTCGAAGCCCAGCTCATTCTTTCAGCGATACTTGTCGACTTCAATCTAAATCCAAGCAAAGAATTCTCTGGTCTCCAATCTAGAAATGCGTTATTGATACCAGTGATATCACTTATAAGCCCCGCTAAAGTTCCCCTCTCATATAGGTCTGACCAATCTTGAGCTAGGAATACCAAATGACATGGTGCAATAAGCTCCTGAAGGGTCCACCCTCGAGTGAACCATCGACTCCGCGAAAAAGCAGCTTCATCGAGCCCTTCATCAGTGATCGGAGGTACGTCTGCTAGGTAGGCATAGCAAATTTTGGACTCGGCGTACCATGCCATCATAGAGTTGATGGCTTCAGAAAGCTCAGCACTACTAGCCTTATCTATGCAGCAGGTATCCACCCATACATAACCTAGATCATCTTGCAAAGCTTTTTCGCATGAGTGCTTGATTTTGGCGTACCCCAATTTCTCGGTGACTGTTGGCGTCTGCATATCCTGGAAGGTGACCTCATCCTCTCCCCATGTATGAGACAGAATAGCATACTCAGGAATATTGTGCCCCACAAACTCCTCCAACCCGAGGGTTCTGGCGTTTATCAAGCGCATTGTCTTTCTTTAGAATATTTCAGTTTCAAAGTTCGGGAACCAGGCAGTGTTCCATGCATAGATGAGGGGAATATGTGTGCCAAGTGGTTAAAAAGAGAGGGAAAATGAGGTGACAATCTCACGAGACATGACTGCTCAACTTTCAGCTCAGCTGCCGAGCTGATATATGGTGGGGCAGAAGTGCTTGTGTTTGCGGTGGCTCTAGCGGGTCTTCTTTTGCTATGATTTGACAGCGAGCCGCCCGGGCTATCAAAATGGCCAACTGGCGCCCCATCGAACAGATCGCTGGAGCAATGAGATTGAAGCAGAACCTTGCGGACTCCGTTCAGTTCACAGGGGTGATTTTCTAGGTTCCTGCACTTGTCTGGGGCAGTTTCTCACAGCTGTAGTCATGTGACTCAGTGGTCGGAACGGTTGGTTGTGTTAGCTCACATCATATGGAGCAATATATATTCTCAGTCCTGCTTAAATCGGAGGTCAGTTTTTCAGGAAGTTCGTACTAATATTACTGTGGAGTCGACCACCACTAGTGACTGTCTCATGAAACTACCATCAAGTTATGAAAGCAGCAACTGCCATTTGTCGCCAAGACCATATAAACGACTCCGACCCTTCCCTATAATAATACCCCATACCCTCTGAACAATGGAAATAAGAATAACTGGTCACTCCAACGATCTCAACACCTCCGCCGCCACATGTTCTCCCGACCGCACAGCCCCATCCATATACCCAGTCCAATAGTATGACGCCTCCGTCCCAGCAAAGTAAATCCCGCCCACCGACTCCCTCAAATACTCGCCATAATCAGTGAGCACACTAGGAGGTGCAAAAGCGACTGGTCCACCGCGGGAATATTCCTCCCAGTCCCAGCGCTGAACAATCACATGGTCGGGATGCGCGGCTTGTGGACCAAACATACCCACGAAGCTGTCAATGACTGCTGCCTCAATCTCTGTCTCATTCATCTTGTCCACCAGTCTCATGTCATCCCCAACAATGAACCCCATGATAGCACCAACGGATTCATCAACCGGGGTGTTGTCGAACGTTATGTGGATGATGCCGGTATCGGCAAGTGCTTGCGCATTCAGCCCCTGCTCACGCCACCAAGGTGTGGGATAGATGGCTATTGCTTTGCCTATTGATCCCATGCCCATGCGCTGAGTGAGTTGGTCTCGTGCTGGGGGGAGGGGTGGGTCGTAGGAGATGCGTGAGGCCATAGGAGGGGACATTGCGACGATGACTCGCTTTGCTATGATCTGAGTCTCATTTGAGATAATCATGTATTGCCCGTTGTTGTGTTCCACTCTCCGAACAGCACTGCAAAGGTGAATGTTCTCTATTCCCAATTTATCCGCCAACCTCAACGCTATCAGCTGGGTCCCGCCAACTATCCGACTCTCCTGAGCACCCCCAACCACATCAATAAGCCGATCCAGAGTTCCCACCTCCGTCTCATTCCCACTTGCTGCGATGTAAGCGAGTGTATACAGCAGCGAGGGCTCATTAGTCTCGGTAGCGAGAACCCCAGTAACGAATGTGTTGAGGAGAAACTTCGCATCAGACAACGTAAGCTGCGAAGCGAAGAAGGTCCCCAGGGTCATGGTATCCCACATAGAGGCGTTGGGATGGTCCCATGGTGCCCGCACATTAATTTCGGCGGCGAGGGTATTAAGCTGCTGCTGGAGTGTTCCCACCTCGATCAAAGCCTCAGTGGCTAAGGGCGGAAGACTAGCACTGCCCAATTCACATGTATAATTGGTAACTGTACCGTTTCTCAGGAAAGTGCAATTTCCTGTGTTATAGGTTGGATATGTAGCTAGCCCCAGTTCAGCTGCGAGTGCTAGGACTCGGTCCTGCGTTGGACCCACAAACTCGGCCCCAACTTCCTCGACAATACCGCCAGGAAGTTCGACATTCAGGACACGACCTCCGACACGATCGCGGGCTTCAAGTATGGCAAAGGTTTTACCAGCGGCGGCGATGTCTTTGGCTGCGGAGAGGCCGGATAAGCCCGCGCCGATAATTGCAACGTCCACTTCCGAGACGGAGAAGGCTGCTGCGAAGAGGGAGATGAGGAGGAGAATAAGAAGATGGAGAGTCATGGCTTTTGGGGTTGATATTATCTGCTGAGATCAAGAATCCGAGCTTTGTCTCAACAGGCCGGCCAGGTCAGTCTCTTGACAACTCAACAGCCCGACAATATAACCCGAGGATGGCTTGTGACCTTCCCGGATGGAAACCCGCCGGGACAACAGAGTATCGGTGGGAAGGCGCACCTGTGCAACCTTAGGATGGAAGTAGCTCTACAGGGCACCCACTTACATTAAATCCATCATTGGATTAGTGAAGCTTAATCAAGCAATAACGGTAAGAACAATGCATTTAGAAAGCCCTTCATTAACTATTCCATTACTCATGCTAACTAAATCAATTTGAACCGATGCAAGCACTATTCACAGCTTGGAGCGTGCAATACCCGAGGTCTTCAGGTCAAACCGGTCCAGATTCATGACCTTATCCCAAGCGGTAACAAAGTCCTTGACAAACTTTTCCTGTCCATCCGAGCTTCCATAGACCTCAGCCAGAGCGCGCAGCTCAGCATGCGAGCCAAAGACCAGATCCGCCCGTGTCGCCGTCCACTTTGGCTGACCCGTCTTACGATCCGTACCCTCGTACAGATCGCGACCACCATCCTTAGCCTTCCAGGCCGTGTTCATGTCAAGGACGTTGGTGAAGAATTCATTCGTCAAGCGACCAGGAGTGGAGGTGAAGACACCATGCTTCGATCCATCGTAGTTGGTGTTCAGGACGCGCAGGCCACCCACCAGGACAGTCATCTCGGGCGCCGTGAGCGTCAACAGGTGTGCCTTGTCGACGAGATAATGTTCAGCGCGCACCCGAGACGAAGACTTTCCATAGTTGCGGAATCCATCAGCCACAGGCTCGAGGTGAGAGAAAGATTCCACCTCGGTCTGCTCTTGACTGGCGTCCATGCGGCCGGGGGTGAAGGGAACGGTGATGGATTGGCCGGCCTCTTGGGCAGCCTTTTCAATAGCCGCGCAACCAGCCAGGACGATGAGATCGGCGAGGGAGATCTTCTTTCCAGTTGAGGAATTCCGGTCGTTAAAATCCTTCTGAATCTTCTCGAGCGCGGACAAGGTCTCCTCCAGCCATGGCTGGTTGTTGACCTCCCACTGGCGCTGGGGTGTCAGGCGGATGCGGGCACCGTTCGCACCACCGCGCTTGTCGGTACCGCGGAAGGTCGATGCAGAGGCCCAGGCGGTGGAAACAAACTTGGACTTGTCCAGTCCAGTGTCGAGGATAGTGCGCTTCAGAGCAGCAATGTCGTTTGCATCAACCAGAGTGTGGTTGACAGCCGGGATGGGATCCTGCCAGATCAGATCCTCGGTTGGTGCCTCAGGCCCAATGTACCGGGTTCGGGGACCCATGTCACGGTGGAGAAGCTTGAACCAAGCGCGAGAGAAAGCATCGGCGAACTGGTCAGGGTTTTCCAAGAAGCGCCGGGAGATCTTCTCGTAGGTGGGATCGTAACGGAGCGACAAATCGGTTGTCAGCATCTTAGGGAGGTGCTTCTTGGAGGGGTCATAGGCATCGGGAATGATGGCCTCGGTGTTCTTGGCCTGCCACTGGTTGGCGCCCGCAGGACTCTTGGTGAGTTCCCAGTCGAAGCGGAACAGGTATTCGAGGAACGCATGGCTCCACTTGGTGGGAGTCTTGGTCCAGGTCACTTCGATACCGCTGGTGATGGCGTGTGGCCCTTTGCCAGACTGGTAGCGGTTGGACCAGCCCAACCCTTGGTTTTCGAGACCAGCAGCAGCGGGTTCGACATCGACGTTATCAGATGGAGCGGCACCGTGTGTCTTACCAAAACTGTGGCCACCAGCGATCAGAGCGACCGTCTCTTCGTCGTTCATTCCCATGCGACCGAAGGTGGTACGGATGTCGCGCGCGGCGGCAACCGGGTCTGGGTTGCCATCGGGACCCTCGGGATTAACGTAGATCAAACCCATGTGTGATGCAGCCAGCGGCTTCTCCAGGTCGCGGGTGTGAATGTTGCGATGGGGTGGTTCGTCCCCAGAGAGAGCACCATGCTTGGTGACTCCCGGGAAGCCATCGGAGTAACGCACGTCGTTACCCATCCAGGTGGACTCTCCTCCCCAGTAGACCGACTCGTCCGCCTCCCATGTGTCTGCACGACCACCGGAGAATCCATATGTCTTGAAGCCCATCGACTCCAGGGCCACATTGCCGGCCAGCAGCATCAGGTCCGCCCAGGAAATCTTTGCTCCGTACTTCTGCTTGATGGGCCACAGCAAGCGACGAGCCTTGTCCAAGCTAGCATTGTCAGGCCAGCTGTTAAGAGGAGCGAACCGTTGTTGACCCTGACCTCCACCACCGCGGCCATCGAAGACCCGGTAGGTACCGGCACTGTGCCAGGCCATGCGGATGAACAGGCCGCCATAGTGACCGAAATCAGCAGGCCACCAGTCTTGTGAGTCAGTCATCAAGGCATGAAGGTCTTTCTTGACGGCATAGTAGTCGAGGCTGTTGAAAGCGGCGGTGTAGTCGAAGTCCCGCTCGTAAGGGTTGGATGCCGGAGCATGCTGGCGAAGAATGCCCAAGTTCAACTGATCAGGCCACCAGTCAGTGTTGCGGGTGCCTCCACCAGCAACGTTGGCGTTAGACCTGCTTTGGCTAAAAGGACACTTAGCCTCGGCCATGGTTGGATATTAGATGTGGATATGCGGAGATGTGATGTCTATAGCAGATGTCTGATGGGATGGATGATGGTTCTCAGACAAGAATGATGATGCCACGATAAACTTTTCCAGTCACACCCTTGCCTGTCCCTGGGATGCACCTTATATAGGGTTTCCCCTCTGCACTTTCCCCTCATCAACCCCTCTCTGTCTGGCCCGAAATGGCCCGGTCACACGCTCTCGTAGCACCCGGATTGCGGCAGCTCGAATTCGCCGGATTACTCACCCCGCAAGGATCTACAAACCCGGGGAGGTGCTTGGTCATCGACTGCTGAGTCAAGGGATTGGAGCCAGAACGATTGGAGAATTGAGGAAGTTTGGGTGGTGCCAGAGATGCAGAACTGCAATTGACTAAGAGTGGCAAGTGCGGGGAGAGAGCCAGCCAGCATCGAGGATTTGAGAGAGTTCAAGCCAGATTGGTGCTCTAGTGAAGGACCGTGCGACGTCGCGCGTCATGGTAGACTAACTAGATGCCTCCAGGCTGGCCGTATTACAAAGGAGGTTAGTGAAGACACTCGTAGCGAACTACCCTCTGCATAACTCTGGGTGTTCCTTCTTTAGTGACATTCATTGATTAGTAGCAGTTATTATTCATCGTTTACCCCCAACTGCTCCAGACCCGATCACGTGGGCGGGTGATGACCTGATCAGCCCTTTCTCTGACAATTGTCATCTTTCCATCGGCGATCCTCCCACACTCGATGACGCACCAGGTTAAAGGCATGGGGTGATGACCGATTAATAACTGGGAGAGGTCCAGAGCTCAGAAACGTGCAGAAACCTCGTTCGCAACATGTAGATAGAGTGTCTGGGTAGCTGGTCTGGCTATGGAACCGGCGGAACGATCCAGATTCCGGGGATTACCAAGCAGCCGCACCAATCGGGCCACCAGCCCTAACCTCTTGAAACCAAGTCGGTGGAGATGATGATGTTCATCGGCTTGGCCTCTTACCAAGCAGCGCGTGTCCAGAACCGCTTGCTGAAGTAACCCACGCCTAACCCACGGCCTTGGCATGCCTGCAAGCCACCCGCTCTCAGCGCAATTCTATTCGGCTTGCAGCAGGCACAACACTAAATCTCCGAAATTGGTATGACGCGAAGTCATTAGTAGCCTATAGAAATCCCATGTGCTAACTCAACGTGGGTGTACTTTCCGATTAGCCTCATGCAGAAGGTACTTGTTCTTGTCACCGAGTACCAGTTTGTCACTTATTGTGGTGATCTATCTTGATTGAGCCCATTGCGTTCCTCGTCTCATCACATCGAGTGATCAACATTGCATGACCCTGGTGGAGCCCCTTCGTCTCCCCAACAGGAGGGTCCGGATTACCAAGTCCCGACACCGTTTGGCTGTAAATCGACTCAAATTCTGGATTCGTAGCTTAACTAAGACGCGTGGGCTGTTTACCGGCCTCGCCATGGAAGCCGATATAAGGACCCGATGGGACTCCCCTTGATGAGGCTTCTCGGAAGATCCCAGCATTCTGAATTCTTTTCGTCTTCGTTTCCTCCGCCATGCGTCATTTTTGGCTTTTGCCAGCTGTTGCTGGTATCGCTGGGGCTCAATGCCCCTACCTGTCGGGTGAAATGAGTTTCACTCAGGAGCAGGACAATGCTGGCGATACCATTGAGGTCACGGAACAGACCATTGACAACACTCTCTATGTCAATGACACTGGTAGCTACATGACTACCGACTTTGGGACCCCGATCTCCGACCAGTACAGTCTCAAGGCCGGTCGCCGTGGACCTACCCTGTTGGAGGACTTCATCTTCCGTCAGAAGCTCCAACGGTTCGACCATGAGCGTGTAAGTATAGTAGCTGTCACAGTGTGTAGCAATGAATTGACCAAGTTTTCTTGTTCAATTAGGTCCCCGAGCGTGTCGTCCACGCCCGTGGTGCCGGTGCATACGGTACTTTCAAGTCCTACGCCGACTGGTCCAACGTCACGGCTGCCGATTTCTTGAGTGCCAATGAAAAGGAGACTCCGATGTTCTGTCGCTTCTCTACTGTTGTCGGTTTCCGTGGAAGTGTTGATACCGCGCGTGATGTTCACGGTCATGCTTGTCGGTTCTACACTGACGAGGGTAACTATGGTATGCTTAATATGACAACACAACAATAATAATTGTCGTACATGCTAACAATTGTGTCTGTACTAGACATCGTCGGAATCAACTTTGCTCCCTTCTTCATCCAGGATGCCATCCAGTTTCCCGATCTTGTCCACGCCATCAAGCCTATGCCCAACAATGAGATCCCTCAGGCCGCAACTGCTCACACTTCCGCTTGGGACTTCTTCAGCCAGCAGAGCACTGCCCTCCACAGTGCCTTGTGGCTGATGTCTGGTAACGGTATTCCTCGTTCTTTCCGCCATATGAATGGATACGGTGTCCACAGCTTCCGCTTTGTCGCTGCCAATGGCACTTCCAAGGTGGTTCGCTACCGCTGGAAGTCCCAGCAGGGTGTTGCCAGTCTGGTGTGGGATGAAGCTCAGGCTGCTGCTGGTAAGAACAGCGACTACCACCGTCAGGATTTGTACAATGCGATCGCCAACGGTCACTACCCCAAATATGAGGTTAGTCCCCAATCGTCCTCCCTTTCACTCGTAGTTTCGGTCGCTGACAATCCTCTAGCTGCAAGCCCAGATCATGGACGAAGCCGACATGCTCCGCTTTGGTTTCGACCTTCTGGACCCCACCAAGCTGGTCCCTGAGGAGGTTGTCCCTTACACTCCTCTCGGAATGATGGAGCTCAACGCCAACCCCACCAACTACTTTGCTGAAGTTGAACAGGCTGGTGTATGTATCCCCCGTTGCTCTAAGCTTCAAACCAATTTCTAATTTCTATAGTTCCAACCCGGCCACGTCGTTCCTGGTATCGATTTCACCGATGACCCCCTGCTGCAAGGCCGTCTGTTCTCCTACCTGGACACCCAGTTGACCCGTCACGGCGGTCCCAACTTCGAACAAATTCCCGTCAACCGTCCACGCAAGCCCGTCCACAACAACAACCGTGACGGCTTCGGTCAGCAGCAGATCCCTACCAACAACTGGGCCTACACCCCCAACACCATGAGCAATGGCTACCCCATGCAAGCCAACCAGACCCACGGCCACGGCTTCTTCACCTCCCCTTACCGCTACGCCTCTGGCCACCTCATCCGCGAGCCCAGCCCGACCTTCGACGACCACTGGTCCCAGCCCGCCATGTTCTGGAACTCTCTGATCCCGGCTGAGCAGCAGATGGTTGTCAACGCCATTGTCTTCGAAAACTCCAAGGTCAACAGCCCCCACGTTCGCAAAAACGTTGTCAACCAGCTGAACATGGTCAACAACAACCTTGCCGTCCGTGTTGCCCGTGGTCTTGGTCTCGACGAGCCCTCCCCCAACCCTACCTACTACACCTCCAACAAGACCTCCAACGTCGGTACCTTCGGCAAGCCCCTCCTCAGCATCGAAGGTCTGCAGGTTGGCTTCCTCGCTTCGAACTCTCACCCCGAGTCCATCAAGCAGGGTCAGGCCATGGCCGCTCAGTTCTCTGCCGCTGGTGTCGACCTGAACATCGTCACCGAGGCCTACGCCGATGGTGTCAACACTACCTACGCCCTGTCCGACGCTATCGACTTCGATGCTCTCATCATTGCCGATGGTGTCCAGAGCCTCTTTGCCTCTCCCTCCCTCGCCAACCAGATGAACTCTACCGCCACTTCTACTCTCTACCCTCCTGCTAGACCTTACCAGATCCTGGTCGACTCTTTCAGGTACGGTAAGCCTGTGGCTGCTGTGGGTAGCGGTAGCGCTGCGCTCAAGAACGCTGGTATTGATTCCTCCCGCTCTGGTGTGTACACTGGCTCAAGCGAGGCCACCGAGAAGATCGCAAAGGAGGTCTTGAAGGGACTTTACACTTTCCGTTTTGTGGATCGGTTTGCCCTTGATGAGTAAGGGTGTTGTGCATGTACCCATGACCATCATTGATTGTGATAGATCGCTTCATCGATAGATTTATTTAGATAGATTGTACTAGACTGTACATATCTCTACTGATGTGTTGTGTTGCTTTAACACACTTTATGAATATATATATTCCTTTTTTTGTGAAGCCTCTCCATATAATCAGCAACGTCCAGAATTTTCAATTATACAAATGTCTATGATTTTGAATTCCTCGCATGTAAGATGAAAAGTCCGACCGCATTCATGAAGCTGCTTCAAGTTCTACCTATATGCGGTAGTCCTCCTTGAGAAGTCCAGCAATGAACAAAGAACGATTCAAATCCTCGCTCGTTCGCCCGTCAACACTTGATTAACCACTTCTATTCAACCACGATCTTTCATAGTTCTAGCCTGTATCGTTAAGCTCCCTTGACCACCTTTCATACCAGGACATTCACAACGAAAACTCAGGAGATAGAAACCGCACCTGTATCCACGACCCAGAACAACACCGACAGGCCTGATATTACCAGCAAACCACAACTATCCACGGCTAACAATGATCAGCCAACTGACCTTATCCCGACCATAAATCAAGCCACCAACACTAAAACAACCATAACATGCACAATGCTCTCCCTCTACTCTTGACCTCACTAACATCACCACCGCCACCCCTGCCATAGTAAGCACAATCCACTCCGCCACCGGCTACACGTAGGTAGGTGGCGCATACACTCTCGCACACGCCGCTGTAACATACTGGGCACCGTCGCCGACGTATGGGGCCGGATGCCTGTGATACTGATCGCAATGGCTATATTTCTTGGGGGTAGTCAGCTGTGCGCCGCAGCACCGAATGTGGACGTCCTCGCCGTCCGAGTATTCCAGGGCCTTGGTGGCTCAGGCATGAGTATCATGGTCGATATCATCATAAGCAACCTATTTTCACTATGAGACAGGGGTCTATATCTTGCCATCACATCATTAGTATGGGCGGTTGGAAGCGCAGTGGGACCTGTCCTCGGTGGTGTATCTGTTACGAAACTCAGCTGGCGATGGTGTTTCTGGATCAACCGTACGTCTACACCCACTTGTTTACCCACCAACCCACAGCTAACTGATAAAAGTACCCATCGGCGACCTCGACTTCGCCGTCCTCCTTCTCTACCTTCACGTCCCCAACCCCCGAAAACCCCGAACGACCGGCCTAAAAGCCATCGACTGGACCGGCATCCTCTTAATCGTCGGCCCCGTAGTGATGATCCTCCTCGCCCTCGACCTGGGCGATGTAATCTACCCCTGGTCATCGGCAACGATGGGCTTCGTCCGCTCGCTTGTCACTGCGATAGCAGTAGTAGTTGGCGGCGTGGTATTCCAGGCTAAGACGACGGCTGCTAATGGAGCACTGCCCCATAGACTTTGTGGTGACAATGCGCTAGCGAGGGAGTTTGATGGGGACCTTGCGGCGTCGAATGTGGAGAAGATTAGTGGTCTCGAGGAAAGTGAACAAGTTGCTGTCAGAGGGACGTGTTTTCGGGCGCTGCGGATGGTCTGGGTTATGTATGTTACTTTTGCATGGTTGGCGTTGGTGGTTACGCTGTTTGTGAGGGCTCATAATCTGAGAAAGGAGAAAGAGGGGGCACTGTTGGGGGTGGAGAGGGTAACCCGGGATGGTAGGAGACGAGATCCAGAGGTTGGGATGCAAGATATATGTGATTGCCGGGAAACCGTCTAGATAAACAAATCCACTAATGGGGTAGGAGGCTGTCTGTATAACTTATGTGACACAGTCAATTGAGCTCTTATCTACTTGGATACATGGGATTTGCTTTCTTGTCAGTCTCTCTATCTTCTGTTCTCACATGTTATGGCTAAATTGGCCCTCCGAAGGATTCCATTTATCTAGTGGTTGTATACCACGTGTCTCCAAAAATTCAGGCCTAGCGGAAAAGTCCGTCCGAAATTTTCCATCTTTTATCCTGGAAGGGACCCCTGTGTGTCTGCTATATACCTTTGATAATCGCCTCTCATACGAATGACTGTCTCGAAGTGCCGTGCGTTTAACATCGGAACAGAGTCAACTCTCTCTGAGCGATCACCATGGGTCTCATGGTTAGCTAGTATAAGTGCCGTTTCGCAGAGGTTCAGAATGTCTCTTCCACTAAGAGTCAACAGGCCTGACTTTTGCATATGCTCTACGCGTTGGATAATATCAACGGTATCAATCTCAATGCGGCCTTTGTCCTTGCGAGCTCGCTCCCCTATTATACGCAAGCGTTGTTGTAACATTTGATTGACCATCACGAATGTGAATTCTGGGTAGTAGAGTGTGACCTGAATGCGAGAAAGGAGTGCTGTGTCGAGGGCCCCAAATTGATTGATTGTGAGGAAAAGTAATCCGCTATGTTTTTCAGTGAGCTGCATAAACAACGTTATATTGATGTTCTGGGATATGTCATCCTTGCGCGGTGAGAGAAAGGATTTGACATCGTCTATTAAAACGATGCAGCCCCATCTGTCCGATAGCCGGAAGGCCTCTCCAAGACTATCGACTAGGTCACGAATGGATTCTCCTAGACTAGCATGCGTCAAATGTAGCAAGGGTCTCCGGACAGTCTCTGCTAGACATTCGACGGAGAATGTCTTCCCGCAACCAGGAGGCCCATGTAGTAGGACAGTTGTTCCCTTCACTACTGGCCTTTCGATGCCACTACCTAAGACTCTATCGGAGGCTTCTTGCGCCCATACGAGGCTCCTTAAAATGGCCTTGTTCCCGACATTCAGTAAAAGATTGTCGAAGCTCCGAGATTCATCGGTCATCACTTCCTGGATTTCGTCTATCTCCACAACTGACCATCGCAATTCCGAAAGAAGATAGACATCAATCACTGGTTGGCAAGCTATCAATGCTTGAGGCCTCAAATCGGATGCGGGACTGAGCCTGAATTGCTCAGTAAACTCTTGAGCTGGCGGTTTCCCCAAGGGCCGAATTTGTTGATCAATGATAACTCGAACAGGACCATCTTCCTTTCCAAGCTGCTTGTAGTTCACCGAGCTTGCCAATTGCCAGTACTTCCGGCCACGTCGGATTAGCTCCTTGCGAACAATTCCCTCTTCAGGCAAGAAGCCAGCGGGAATGAACTTTAGGCTAGTGATTGTTCGTGTACCGCTGAATTGATGAACAGTCAGGTCATGGTAACTCTTTGCAAAGTACTTCCCATTGTGATCAACAGACCATGCGCGTATCACGAGCGGCGTGAATTTGCCAAAGGGTTCCGGATTCATACCACTAAGCTCTGTCACAGTAAATGCTCGCCAACTATCACCCTCCTTGTGATATATCATAGATCCGGCAGGATAAAGAAAGGGAGTTTCATGAAATCTGACAGCCTTACACCTTTTCTCCTGAATCTCAACTAGTTGGTGAGAGATGAAGTGAGATTGGCTTTCCATAACAACTGTCGAAAGGCTGCGCTGAACACCTCTGTATGGCGATCGCTGGATAACGAGAGAGTGGTACTCATCAGGAAGCGTTGGCAGGGGCGAAGCAAGAGATGCTGTGAGCAGTACCTTCACGCACCGAGACTTGTCCTTCACAAGGTTGTCCAGATACGTTATGATTTCACCTTCCTCATCCGGCTCACCCTGTTCAAGCTTGTCAAAGCTGTCGATGATAATGAAGGTGCAATCTGGACTGACTTCGTCCAAGCACTCGATGAGTAAACCCCAGAGAGCCTGGTTGCTTAGTGTGTTCTCCTGCGTGAAAATATCTTTACTTTTCCTGGGGATATGGGGATTTCGCTCCACAACCTGGTAAAGCAAAGCCTGAATCAGCGTACTCGGCTTTCGGGCCATTCCGATATCTCCACAGAAGTGGCGAAGGATGAGAGTAGACTCGTAGTTGCCCTCTCCCATCACCAGGAGTGGTATGGCAAAGCTAGCATTGAAGTCTGATCGTCGTAGTACATTATTCCCTTCAACCCATAGGATTTGCGAAACATCAGACTCAATCCACGCAAGAACCTTTTCCGACCGTAGCAAATTGCGCTGCGTCGATCTGTGAGAACGCATCTCCGGGGTTTCTTCAATCGCACCTTTCCTACGGAGCGTTTCTTGGTTGTAACTCTTCAGATGGGAGAAAGGTCCCCCGAGCTGGTCAAGAATATTTATTTGGGAATTTTCTGCGTGATCTATGTCAGGCTCAGACGCTGAACCTTTCGAGAGTATTGGGTCATCTTGTATCTGGTCAACATGTTCTCTAACGAGCGATGCCGTCTCACGGATATCCTCTTCCTTAGTGAAATGGACCGAGATAGCATGCAATTGCGACAGAACATTTTCCAACATGTCCTTACTGGCATCGAACTTCTTGTCTTGATTCCTAAGCAGCGCCAAAGTCTGCTGGCTGACTTCCATATTCGCGTGTGCAGTTAACAGGCCGTGGAACTGGGCAATCTTCTCTATAACGACGAATGTCTGTCCGATGGCATCCACTAGCTGCTGGAAGCGATCCCATGGTCTTGTGATGGCTTTCAGATACGTTTTCACCCGACTCTGCGTGTAGTATTTGACCGCTTTCGACAGGAACTTGGTGAATAAATGATAAGCCTGGGCGAAATGGTCGACCAATTGCTTCGTCGGAATGTAAGCAGTCAAATGATCTGTGAGCTCAAATTTGGCCGCAATCTGGTCGAGATATTGCTTCACCTTCTCCTTAAGCTCTTGATAATTCATCTGCACCGTGAGGATAATCTTGATAGCCCCATATGCGAGCGAAACATATCCAGGCGCCTGACCTATCATGGGGTCCAGCATCTGGGAGTATTGATATGCCATTTGGGACGTTGAAGACCATGCTTGCCGGAACTTTGTTCTGAGCGATGCATCTCTCGAGTCGGGATGAGTGTTCTTGCCTGCGGCCTTGGCGTCCTGAATCATCTCGAGGAGCTGCTGTCGACTTTGCTCGAGCTCATTCTTCTCCTGAGCGCTGGCGTGTACGAGAAACTCATTCACTCTTTTCTGTAACTTGATGTGTGAAGCCCTAACTGGCTGTTGGCCTAGTATCTTTTCCGACCACTCTTCTGCACTCCAGCTTTGGGAGTACTGGACATTTTGGCGCTGGGAGGGGACTGTCGAGTCGGAGGCATGATACGAAGTAGGAGCAGCACTGCTCATGTAGAGAGTTTCCTCGATTGTGCCAGGCTCATCGGTGCACACTGCCCCCAGAATAAAGTCATTAGACATTTTTTCGCTAAGTAACCTAGGCGCGAATCGATATGAAAAGGCAATCTCAGGGGAACCTCGCCGTCGCTGGTAAGTCGGCTATATACAGACCCCCAGGTGGGGTTGTGACGTGGCACAACAGGATGGGCGATGGCCTGCATATGGCTGAAACTAAATAAGCAATATGGTTTGCTTTAGCATGATTATACTATTTCGTCGCCAGTTTGAGCAACCTCGAGCGGCAACCAAGTGGACCAAAAACACTTAGGAGGTTGTATTTTTGATTTTGTGCGCACATATACCCACTACGTTCACGGTATATACAGAGAGCAGGTCAAAGTCTTTCTTCGTAATGCTGTTTGGTATAAGCCGAAGTCGTGGCCGACTGCAGCACACCCAAATACCGTTAGGGGGGCTGACAGTGGTGGGGCAAACTTTTGGACTAATAGAGATTCAAATCGGGTAGCAAGAACACCCGCCTATCGCTTCGAAACCCGAATATCAGAAAAGGCCCAAGCCTAGAATCTACATATTCTATTCTGGGGGATTGGAAGCCACCATTCAGCGTGGTATGTATATGTGCTCTCATTCAACCAATCGGGGGTATATATTAGATACTGGTAGCCATTATCCCTCCTTCCCAGCAAATCGACAACACGACTCCCCACAAAGACACTTCTTGCTCAGCTGGCGCCAATAATTATCCGAATAGTCGACAGTGATTTCAGTCCCTGCCATAATGCCCCGTGAGACCACTATAATGCGCTCCATGCCCCTCCAGTAGAATCGTTGGAACTGACTGTTCGGTCGACATGAGTGGTTGATCAAACGGGTGAAATTGCCCATCTGCCCCTGATATATTTGGTATGTTCGACCGCGCGAGCCACCCAGCATCACATCTACTCCTTCTATGCCGTTTGTGATGAGGCCTGTGAATTCCCCTATGACGGTTCCTCGATCGAAGTTCTACGTCTGCGTCAGCAAGCTGTTAAGGGAACGGATGTGTGATGCTCGGGTAAAGGAAATAGATAACTCACACAGCGCGCAATGACACCATTGTTCTTCCCAGTCGACGTCCGAAATACCTGAACCGGCACTGGATGACGAACGCCACCGAATAACGCTGGAAAGCACAGGCATTGATTCTTCTCAATCTCATCTGACTGTCTTGCTTTGCATACGAGACACACATCGGGATCTAGCTCCGGTACACGACGTGGATCCTGTGCCCCAAAGGCAGCAGTATCCAGCACACACTGGTCAATGAACTGGTACTGAAATCCTTGAGGAAGGTCGAGATGCGCGTATGTTGAAGCTAGAGGGACAGCTGGACCCTCAGACAAGGTTACCCATTCATGCGGATGGCCGTGATAGGCGATCGAGGTATCTTGCCTGATAATTTGCAGCAGGTCCCGCCATCCCGGGTGAAGAGTGTCGGCCGCTACCTCGAAGCTAGATCGCAGATGCCGTAAGCGGGTAAACAAACCTTCCCCGAACTCCGTGCGATACTTGCAGAATCGATATATGCCGGTACTGGCAAATATAAGACACGCCCAACCGCCTGTATCTTTGATTTCTTTGTAACCGCGCCAGATTGCCCTATGTCTGTGTTAGTCATGCAATCGGAAAATGGCATAGGCGAAAGCCGTACATTCGATTACGAAGATCCTTTTCCTTCCAATTGAGAACCACGCAAGCCTCCTTCATAACCATCATTCGCGCATCTGTCATTGATAGTTGAGGCTTCTCTAGTCGGATAACGGCAACGCGTGCTTCGAAACATTCCACCCAGTACGCTTGGACGATCATTTCCAGAGCACGGGAGGATTGGCTTTGGTTGTAGTATTTCAAGCATAAGGTGTTGATCTCGCGAAAGACCTTCTCATGTTAGTCAGGCCCATGTTAATGCTCTCGGGACAATTACCTCAAGACTGACACCGGTTCGGATGTCCGTATTGGATTGTATGATCTGATTCTGTTAGTGTTTGAATCGTACTTCCTTTCATAAGGGAATCATACCGAAGGTAGACGACTCAGCTTTACAGGCGAATGTAACTGCCGCCATATCCCTGCTATAAGCTTATCGGCCGAGGTCGGTTCCAGCACAGGCAACGAATACTCCTGCCGTGGGTTCTTTCGTTGCGGAAAGCGAGTGTCACTTTGGACCTGTCGCACAGAAGGCTTGGACCCACTGGAACCGGCGGCGGCTTCTGAAGATAAGTTGTCGTACTCAGCATCAACTGATGTTTCTGAATGAATGGTGGTCGCCTGTGCTGGTCGAAGTGTGCTTATAGTCTTGCGCCGCTTGTTGGGGTAGCTCTGAGCGTTGCCATTATCACGACATCCGTTGGAGTCAGTGGTACTAGCATCATCTATGTTGATCTATAAAATCCGTTACTCCTATTATGGTAGTATCGGGCTCCAGTAAACCTACCCTAGAGTCAGGCGTTGAGATTGGAGTGGGTGGCAATGGCAATGCCTGCCCACTTTGAAGATCAATGTATCCCTAGGCAAAGTCAGGCAAGGTCGGAATCGTAGGTGATAAGACAATATTTACCAGAATTAACCCGCTTCCTTGCCCTGAAGTCGACCCCTTATTGGCTAATGAAGCTTCAATCTTGAGGTAGAGCTGCGAGTTGCCATTTTCTTTTGAGCCACCGTCCTTACTTGCACTCTTCTGCTTCCTATTCACACTCTGCCGCACAGCCTGTACGGCCGACTGAAGATGCGCCGGAAATGTTGGGTTCTGAAGAATGCTCGACAACTGTGACACAAGTGCTAGTGATATAGAATCCATTATACCTCAACAATAGCTTATTACTGAAGATATTGAGAGCATACTATCATGAATAGGGTCTTTACTCGGCTATCGGCTACCTCTGGGATGCCAAGAAGGGCAGATTCTGCTCGGGCAGAATTGCTGACTAATTTCCTTCTCATCGCTCAACCCAGTTATCCAAGATCGTTGTTTGCTCTAGCAAGTTGAGCAGGTTAATAGTATATATATGGAATTCTTGTGCTAGAGAGTAGGTAATATTAGAATCAGGTCTTGTTCTCTCCAGGGCTGCGAGCAGTATGTTGTGTTGACGCATCATTCAAGGGGAGTTGACCGTCCACCCCAACATGAGAACTTTCCATTTCGGCCCTACAAAAACGGCTAGGTCGGTTGGGATATGTGTAGAGGCGAAAGGGTATTAGGTCTAATACAGGCCCAATTATTGTGAGTATAAATAAGAGACACTTTCTTCGTAACGTCCCCTTCCTATACATGACACACATCCAAACCATCATGCCCGACACCAAATACCTCAGTAGGCAGAGTCCATATACTTACTCTCATGACAACCGGACAGGATGGAGACGCTTTCGTGTCCTGAATCCATGCAGAGGCATGTGTCACGATGTCCATCGGCGACTACCCTACTACTGGAGTGATATTCGAGATGCGCTCACTTATCGAACCATTGCAAGTACCATTCGCATTTACTTCATTAAGTAGGTCCTAGGTCCCTGAATACACCACTTCTGTATTGTTTTCTCTAACGTAATCAGTATTCTCCCTGCCATCGCCTACACATTGGATATGTATCGCCGAACAGGAGAGTTCTACGGCATTAACGAAGCGCTGTTTTCCTCGGCACTCGCAGCTATGGTGTTCAGCGTCCTAGGCGCACAACCACTTACTATTGTCGGTATCACTGGACTCATATCGCTGTTCAACTACACCATATATGATATTGTAGTCATATACAAGCCTACCATATACGCTAACTTCATGTGCTGGACTGCTATCTGGGCGGCGATCTTTCATTGGATTGTTGCTGTGTGCAACCTCTGCGACTATATGCGCTATGTGACCGACTTTTCATCTGAGTCATTTGGTGCATATGTTGGGATTATCTATTGTAGTAAGTCTGATAGAGAATAGTTTCTTGCAGGGATTAGTACTAAGTCGAGCAGTAAAGGGCGTCGAAGAGCTCGTGAATGAGTTCACTGTCTACGGGCCAACCGCAGGATTCATGAGTTGCATGATTGCCATATTATACTTCTTCACAATATACGGACTTGAGTTGCTGGGCTCAAGCACAATCTGTCGATCATGGTTTCGTGGACTACTTGCTGATTATGCTTATGTGGTAAGATATACCCATTATCCACTTCTGATGACCTTACACTCACTCTCAACCAGATTGGAACCATCTTCTGGGTAGGATTCGCACATATCCCCGGCAAGCTCAAGGAGACTGGTATCTCATTCGTACCCATCACTCGGGCATTTTACCCGACACAACCGCGTGGTTGGCTGATTCACTTCTGGGAATTGGAGACAAAATGGGTCTTTGCAGCTCTACCTTTCGGATTCTTGGTCATGCTCCTCTTCTATTATGACCATGTAAATGATTCAATCCCCGGTCAACACGACTAGCACTTTACCTTAGTTGACATACTAATACCGAACAGAACGTCAGTAGCCTCGGCGCCCAAGGTAGACAATACCCCTTGAAGAAACCAGCCGGGTTCCACTGGGACTTCTTTCTCCTCGGATGCACAACCTTCATCGCTGGAATCACCGGCATCCCAATGCCCAACGGCCTCGTCCCACAGGTATAACCCCCCAACTCAATTTTCCCCAACGCACATAAATTCCATACTAAACGATCTACCACTTCAGGCCCCCGTCCACACCACCTCCCTAACCGTCACCGAAACAACCCTCCACATCATCCCCACCTCCGACCCAGACGATCCCGAGGGTACTGAACTCCGCCACCCCATCACCACTCCCACAACCGTAATCGAGCAACGCATCTCCCACTTCCTCATGGGCCTGGCCATAATCGGCACCATGACAGGTCCCCTCCTGATAGTCCTACACACCATGCCCGCTGCTGTCTTCGCAGGTGTCTTCTTCATAGTAGGTTGGGGCTCCATTGAATCGAACGGTATCCTGCAAAAGATCATCTTTCTACTTCGGGAGGATAGATTTATCCCGCGGAATGAGAAATTACTCCGTGTTCCAAAGCGGAAGATTGTTCTTTACGTGATGTGCCAGGTTGTGGGCGTCGCGGCATGCGTGGCTATCTCTCAGACTATTGCGGCCATAGGGTTCCCAATTCTGATTATAGGGTTGATTCCATTCCGGGTGTGGGTTATGCCGAGGTGGTTTGGATCGGAGTTGGGAGTTTTGGATGGGTTGACGGCGGATGGGGAGGCGGTTCTGTGTAGTTTGGGTGGACCGCCTAGGTTTCCTGGGGAGGAGGGGATTGTGGTGGAGGGTGAGAGGCAGAAAAGTGAGAAGTGAAGGGGGAGGGTTCGCTCCACTATGGGGGCGGAGTTAGTGCGAGCTATATAGTATAGGGTTTGTCAAGACGAGATAAGCAGAATGACAGGATATAGCGGTTTACATTGAGGCCCCCTAAACATTCTGCAGAGATATGTTACATGAAGTTTGCATTGTTATTTCTAAAGTCTAGCAGCGAGGCCCTGCTGTATTCAGAACAAGCTCGCATAAGATTGAGTCAATTTACTCACGTATCGAGCTAGGAAATGCTGTTCTAAAACATAATCATACCAGATATATATGAACTATAGCTACATCCCCTTTCGGTCTTTATAATTGCTGCAAGCTTTATCAACCAAGTAGCTGAAGTACGTCGATAGACTGGATGAATGATAGGTAGGGGTCGACCAGTGATAATCTAAGCTAGGGAACTATTAAATTTGTTGCCATCCTCATGAGACAGGAGTTCGGATAATACGGCGGCTGGAGGAGGGGGCGTGCGCGGGTGCTGCCGCGCCTAGATTATAGAACCTCACATTCTGTCGCACTACTGCCGGTGTTTAAGTGCAGTAATAGATAAACTCATTCCGGAATTCATACTTCGTACTATCTGGATGGTATTGAGCTAATTGCGCAGCCCAATTGGGTCTCCAGGTCTCCATTAAGTGCCCTCTCACTGACAACCCACAAACCACGGCTACGTCCCTTGCACTAACAACCTGCTTCCACTACCCCACGTAGACAATTGACAGTGGGCAGGTCCCTTCTAGCTGCGGGCACCTTCTCCAAATGTCTTGAAACCCGATCAATGTCTCAGAAAATAATCCCGAACTTCTAGATGTATTACCGTAGTAGTTATCTAATATACTCATTTTATAAACTGGAGTCACAGTGCTGTATATGTACCTCAATTCTTAGGTGCCTAGACAGCAACTCGAATGTATCCCTTTCAAAAACGCTATATAGTGTGCATGACGTCGCAGAGACCTGATTATTACCATGCAATTGCCAGACATCGACGCAGTTTCAGGATTGCCAGGTACTCCTGCCGCTGCGCGGCAAACATGCATGACTATTACCGCCGGCGGTACTAGTAAATACCAACCTTATCATCATCGTCGATAAAACCGGGCAATTGAACAAATCTTACATCAGAATTATTCAGGCCGCCAGCTTCCCCGCGATGTTTCTAATTCCGCTCAGCTCTGGGAATTCATGAGAGAAACCCGCTCTAATTTGGGTGGGGTCTCAAATAATCATTTCAACACCCATGGCTATAGGGGCAAGAAGGATAAGCCGGGCACAACTACCCTATTAGACGAACCTTATCCTCGATGACAATCGTAAGTTCGATGAACAGTTCTTCGGAATCAATAATGGCGATGCAGTTGTTATGAGCACTCCGCGGAGGAAAATACTAGAGATAATATTTGGGACCTTTGATAGTGCCGGCGGAGCCTTAGATGAACTATGCGTTGCCAATGCGGGAGTTTATAGCACATCACCTGCCTTATAATTGACTTAATCAAGACTCAAGTTGCTTACCATAAGTACAGGGGCATCAGTCACACCATATTACATTGCCATACAGACAAAGACCCAGGGAGCTTAACACAGTATGGTAACCTGGAAATAGACGCCACTATCCTCGGGAACCGCATCAGTTATGTCTTCAACCCCCAAGGGCAAAGCTATAAAGTAGACACAGGTTATTCATCCCCTTCCTACACACTCGACCTTGCTTGTACTGCATTACAGAATAACGAGTGCGATTTAGCCACCATAGTACATATCAACCTGATTCAGTCTCCCGAGCGACATGCCACAGTATCCCAGGGCGGGTTCCTGTGGCTAACATCTATCTGCCATGCCTCTGATACTTCAGCTGATGGGTGAGTCCGATGTTCCGATACCATCATCACCCCTAACCCATTCCTATGACTGCGCGGAACCAATATTTCAATGTATAGACGAGTAGACGTTGTAAATGCCATTGATATGCGCCGGACATATTCACCCCGTCCAGGAGCCCTTGGATTCCCCATCTCAAAACTAAGTGCCGCCTGTAACCACTTCAATAACGTCTACCGGATAGGTAAGATCGTATTTTCCTTGAGGCCAGACCAATATCGTTTCCATGGTCCCTGAGCTCTACACTACCGTCCTCACTCAAACAAATCCTACCCAATGGTCGGCTGTCTACGCCGCCTCAGTAGAAGTCTATCACGGTGGATGGTGAGCCGCGGAGCCCGTTGCTTCGTATTCCTTGGCCGCACAGGTCTAGCCAAGCCAGCTGCCAGGCAAATTGTCCAGGAGCTGAAAGAGACTGGTGCACGCTGTACCGTCGTAACCGGCGACGACATTGTGTACGAAGACGTCGAGCGTGTAGTAGCGGCAGCAGTTGCTGATACGCCTCTAGGGGGAGTGATTCAGGCGGCTATGAGCCTCCACGAAGCCATCTTCAAGCACATGCCTCGCGCGCACTAGCTCACAGGCACGCAGGCCGAAGTGCGTGGAACATGGAACATTCACCAAAACCCTGAGCAAACTCAAGTACGAGTCGGCTCTGGATTCTTGCTTTTGATTAGCTCTGTCGCTGGACAGATTGGCACAGCCGCTTAAGGCAAATATTGTGCTGAAAACCACTTTTGGACGTGTTTGTTAGCTATCGCCGGAGTCTAGGGCTGTTCGCCATCTACCTCGGATTGTGCGCTATATCTGAGCTCGGATACCTCCATGGGCACAGCGAAATCGGCGAGCTCCTCCTTCGCAAGGGCATTCGCCCACTCCCTGAGAATGAAGCCCTCCAAGCCTTCGACTTCGCCCTCTTTTCCGAGATCGATCAAGAACAAACCGTCCCTCGGTATCGTCTCGCACAATGCCACATTCTAAATGGCCTCGAAAACACCGGACTTCAAGACCACCGCAAACAAGGCTTTACAGGTTTCTGGCACAATCTAGACAACATCCGCTTCTCGGTACTCATCAACACTCTGCAGCGCCAGGCATCTCAGTCCGAAGACGGAATCAACACCCCTACGTGGTAGTTCAAACTGTACTGGCGTCAGGCGACGAGAAGCAACTACGCGAAGCGGTGGTTTGAGCAGTGGCGAAGAAGATGTCAAAAATTATTCTATTACCGCTACGAAAGTTGGATTTGAAGTTGCCATTGAGTGGGTATGGCATGTATGGTATGTTGTTGGCGGAGCTAAGACAGTATATATTCAGTTCGATAGGTGTGGATGTCCCGTTTTTGACCTTGATAGATTTGGCGACGCCGGTGTTGAGCATTGCTGAGATCGTGATGGGGGAATTGGGGAAGGTGGTGGGGAAGAAGGCTGAGTAGGAGGTTCTCGCATTTAGTTATTTTGTGATAGTAATTCTTCTGTCCAAAATGCTGCACCAATTTTGAATATCGATTGAACTTCGAGGGTGAGAGGAGAGAGTAATCTATTCTCTCGATCGGATATATTATCCGACGATTACACAAGCGGTCTTATTTGTTCCTGTTATAGCGGATAAGGAGCGGGGTAGGAAAAGCAATTGAACTCTGTCACGGGTGCACATATCTCTGCTATCGTTTCTTTTTGTTATAAGAATGTCACACAACAGGGGCAATGAACGACTGGCTACCATTCTTCATACGCTACTGGTGGGATCGAGGAGGCTGGGTACCCAAGGATGAGTCTGCTGCACCTGGTTATAGACTAGTGGCATCTGTACAACATGCCTCTGATGATCGACAGAATACCCACCCCAATGACGAGACTTTGTCACAAAGAAGAAAACACTTACTTGATAGCTGGTCTCCTCAGACCTGAAGAAGGCCAATGGACTCTTGATAAGTGGAGAGCTTTTGTTTTGTAGGTATGATAGTGATGCAGTGTTGCTTACATGAGAAAGCTCGAGAATGAACCAGGCCCTTATCTGGGACCTCCTAGCAAAACCAATCAAGTCAAACCAGGAGTGACGAGTAAGGAGATGGGAGGTCCACTAATAACACTAACAACCCTTAGATACGCATCGTCTGAAATTCTCAATATAGTTTAGCTGAGTGTGAAAACAAATATGTTACGAGCACTACTGCTTCTTTTCAAGCAAGTAGAATATTCTAGATTATAAGTGGATTAGCAGAAATCTAAGGTCCACTGATAACACTGACGATCTTTAAGCATTGTTTATGTAATTACATATAATGGATTTCTGAGAACCATACTAGTATATCCAGACTAAGTACGTCATGCTGGGCATGGTGCTTTTCAAATCTATAAATACAGCTAACTTGCTCCATACTCTGCTAGTCGAATCCTCTATTTTGAAGCACACTCATCAGGAACACGAAGATCCTTCTACACAAGACCCATAAAGCACTATAAAGACATTTTTATTCCTCTTTGTCCTTGGCCTTCTGGGCACTCCGCTCCTGGCTGCTGCCCAATGTGTATGTACCTGATACTCTCATCCCATGTTAATTTCAAGGCTAAGAAGTTTTATCTAGGGACCCAATCAGGATTATACAGAATACAGTACACCTTGTCCTGCAACATGTGATAACCTGACTCCGGCCTGCCGACTTGAATATACTATCGGGTGTCGATGCATAACGGGATATGTCCTGAATAATATAAATTATATAATAATTCTATTAGATATACTCTCAACTAATCATAGCTCTAGGACGACGAGTGTGTTCCTCCCACAAACTATTAAGATTTATGGATATAAATAGCGATACTTGCACAGTTACATCCTTATAATCAGTGTAGTCAATAGAGAATTCAAATATATATAGAGACTTGTGTTCCATTACAATAAATAATATTCTAATATTGCTCGTAGTACTAAGAATAATTGCACGGAATAAGGTATAATTACACACGCTGTGGTCTCTCATCCAGGTTTTAAATCTTAATCTATAAGATTTCCTAAATACCGTGGCCAAATTGCTAATATATTGATAAATGAGACTGGGGCTGCTATAATTATCAAGAATTAATATGCATTATCTGGATATTAGAAAGATTTACGGGTCATCCTATGAACACGCCTAGCAGTCGGGTATATTTTCCCAAGGAATCCCTGCTAAATGTTTACCTATCTGTACCACTCTTCTCCATCTCTCATGGAGGACGAATTTTAACGAGTATAATTAAGCTACAAAGAGCCTCTAACCGCTTACCTGCTGTAACTTATCCATAGTGGCCAAGATCCTTACCAGTTTAGATATTCACTTGTTTACCGTGAAGCTAATTAAATGAATTACCTCTTAGCAAACTTTCCTAACTAAAATCATGTCTCCCTTGCCTATGAGAAATTGGAGAATTAATTCATATTTCCAGATATTATAATAAGAACTGTACCTCCCTATCTTCATTTTATACCTTTTGTTATGTACGCACGTTGATAAAATATATTCTAAGCTCTGACAGAAGATCACTTGGGGCAATACTGTCCTCTATTTCTCAATTTTCCCCGGAACATTTACACATGCCACGCACTTTAGTATATGCACACTTCACCTCCCGAGCTGTTGCCACAGAGCAAAAGCTGGGCTACGGCTGTCTCAAAAATCAATTTTGTCCGATGCGCTAATACCCGGCGTACTAGAGCGGAAAAGGAAGGCGACTTCAAAAGTCTGGTAAAATTACACTGTAATCGAAAATTTAGACACCAAATGCCCAACAAATATTTCAAGCGCAGATGGATAGATAGTAGATAGGAATCCCTCAGTCCTGTGTAGGGTGGTAATTATCCCCTCATAATGGCTCCTTCTCATCCACAAGACGACATCCAATCTTCCTAGCGATTTCCAGACCTCGATCCACCGTTATCTACTATCTATTCTCGGCGACGCCTTCCTTTCAATAACGATGAATAGCGGTCAAACCCGTCAATCTGACAGCCAACGTAAATTGACCTGCAAATAGCTGGGTTTGCTAGGCATGACAGGGCAGTATATGATAGCTATTATCCCGTGCATGCATGGGTACCCCTCTCCGATTAATCAACCACCCGTCAGGTGTCCGCACTCACATGGTGCCATTGACATCTAAAAGCAAGAGATTTAATTATCCTTCACTCATCTCCGGACATTATTGGTCGCAATGGTGGATAAGATACATTTAGTTACATAATTATATATTCACGATGGTCCGATAAGGGTCTGTTCTCCTCACGGAAGTGAGGCGTTGCTAGTTCCCGTGCCCTAATACTAGTATGAATTGGATGCCGAAAGGATGCAACCCCGTCGGAGTGTATACGGGGTTGCGTCGGAGGCTATCCAACATAAAGAGAAGGTTGCCGGAATGTGTTGGTCACCACTACTCTTGCACTGGAGAAGAGTACAGACGGGATAAGGAGTCAGTATGAGGTTCTTCTCAACACTTTGCAGTGTGACTCTCGCGGTCTCTGCACTGGCCTTGCCAACCTCCGATCATGTCATTCATGAGAAGCGATCTGGTACACCATCGAAATGGGAGAAGATTGGGCGGGTCAATGGCACTGAGCATGTCTTGGTGCGCATTGGTCTGACACAGAGCAATCTTGATCGCGCGTATGAGTATCTCATGAGCGTGTATGTTGATTCCCTGCCTCATGAAATATTCCGACTAACTAGTCAGGTCCGATTCTGTGTCGCCTAATTACGGCAAATTCTGGACTCAAGAAGAGGTACACAGCGCTTTTGCACCGTCAAATGAGACTGTTGATGCGGTGCGAAACTGGCTTATTGAATCCGGTGTGGACGAGTCTCGTTTGATCCACACCCAAAACCAAGGTTGGATTGTGTTTGATGCAACTACCAAAGAAGCGGAAAGCCTCCTCCACACCAAGTACTACCACTACACCGACAAGGTCTCCGGTTTCAAAGCTCTAGCAGCGGAAGAGTATGCTCCCATTCCAATGCCTGAGACTTAATGTATAATAACAGACAATTAGGTACCGCGTCCCGCAGAAAATCCAACAACACATTGATTTCGTTAAACCTGGAGTCCTTCTGCCGTTAACCTCCAAGGGACCATCTGCCAAGCACACCAAGAAGTACAAGCCCTTGAAGCAGACATCAGTTAACGCGACGTCTCTCAGCACTTGCGACGAGGTTATTACTCCCGCTTGTGTTGCCGCTCTGTACAAGATTCCTCATGCAAGCGCCAACGTCAGCGCCAGCAACTCGCTTGGAATCTTCGAAGAAGGAGACTACTACGCCCAGGAAGATCTGGATCTCTTTTTCCGCAACTTCACTCCGTACATCCCGAAAGGGACACACCCTAAGCCGGCATTTATCGATGGAGCGTCAGCGCCCGTTCCTGTTGCTGATGCTGGTGCGGAGTCTGATTTGGACTTTCAGCTCGCGTATCCAATCGTCTATCCTCAGACCATTACGCTCTATCAGACAGATGACTCTAACTATGCTAGTGGAGAGATTGAAACGGATGGCTTCTTTAACACTTTCCTTGATGCCGTCGATGGGGTAAGTTGGCTCACTGGACTTTTGGTATTAAGCTAACGATTCAGTCATACTGCACATATTGTGCCTACGGAGAATGCGGAGACAGCCCGACCCTCGATCCAACCTATCCGGACAATTCCACGGGTGGATACAAGGGACAGTTGATGTGTGGTGTTTACAAGCCCACGAACGTGATCTCCGTCTCTTATGGTGGCCAGGAGGCGGACCTTCCTGCTTACTATCAGCAGCGGCAATGCAATGAGTATGAATCTCTCACCCCTACTGGCGCAGTGCCAAATTAACACGAGCAATAGATTCTTGAAACTCGGGCTCCAAGGAACTTCCATCCTCTTCGCTTCTGGCGATGACGGCGTCGCAGGTCCCCCAGGCGATGACTCGACCAACGGCTGTCTCGGAAACGGGACCATCTTCAGTCCCGCATTCCCTAACTCGTATGAGCGCCTTTGTTTTATTCGAAAGCCATGTCTAATTTTGCTAGTTGCCCCTACGTGACCAACGTCGGCGCCACGAAGCTTTACCCCGGAAAGACCATCGCGGATGGGGAAAGCGCCGTCGTCGACCCGGCCGGCCACCCTTACT